ACACAATTATGCTCCCTGAGTTCACATGGCCACATGTGAATGCTTAGTCAGGCTACACTACCCCTCTCATAAAGAGGTCGCCCTCACCCTTATAGCACATCACCTTCCTTCCGAGTCCACGAGGGGCATGGCTCTGCCGAGTCTAAAATGCTGCTGGATCATGAGTAACACATGCATGCCACTCTCTAAAATCAGCTCCCTATTTTCCTTGTTCCTTTTAAAAAAAAATTGTTATTCTCTTTTTTTTTACTAAGAATATAATCTTACCAAACATTCTACAAAAATGAACAAAGTAAAAATGTATAAATAAAAATTAAAAAAAAAAGAATCTGAACTTCTGGTCTTCATTATTGCTCGCCATATTTCCAGGGTCTTCATTGCAGACACACGCAGGGGTGCAGACAGAAGCTGTGGGAGTGAATGAATGGATGAATGAATAGGTGGAATGGAACGGAAGCCAGGTGTTCAGAGATCTGCCTGTCTCCAAAACCTGTACATTTGGCGCCTGTGCTGGGTGAGTCTCTCCATTCAGAGGGGCCTGTCTCCACAGTCCTGGCAGATTTGTCCCTGGTGGCAGCTTCTCAGGAAGCTTCTCAGTCCTCAGGGTCAACCAGATCACAAAGGTCAGCAGATACACCAAAAGATGAGCTTCCCCTGCTTTTTTCTGTGGCAGGTAGATTTTGCAAAAGCCAGGGGGGTTAGGGAGTTCTCCCTGCCCTGTTGAGCTAGCTCCCTCCCACGGGGCCCACATGATGGCTTTTAAAACCCAGCTGGGGGCCCTCCCTGGTGGCGCAGTGGGTTAAAGCACAGCACTAAGAAGCTTGAGCCGCTTCCGCATGAGTTCGATCCCCGCCTGTCCCAGAGGAGATCCACATGGCGTGGCAGACCTCTCCTGACCCGTCCGCTGCTCCCCTCAGCAGTGTACTTCGTCGATCTGCCTGTTCTGCTCCCCACTCTGTCTCTGGTGAATCCTCTCACCCTCCTCATCTCTGGCCTGTACCCTAGTTCTGTATGAATAAATAAATAAATCTTTAAAAAAAAAAAAACCCAGCTGGACTCTGGAGAGGGCATTTCCTGAGTGCTTCTCTGTTGGTCACTCTGCTCATCATCACCCCTTCCCTTAATGGAAAACTCTGCTCACACTACCCACAGCCTAAAGCCTGTTAGGCCTCCTCCTGGAGGGCCTCAGTTTATCTCTTGTGCCCATGAAGGAGAACACCCCTATCCTGGGGAAGTGCAGCTTTCATTTACTTAACCACTTTAGTTCTCAAAGCTCTTAGCTCGTCTATGCTCCTGCCCCCCCAGCATGCTCTGCTTCAGAGCTTCTACTAGACCAGGCCCATCCATGGCTCCCAGAAACCAACAGAGAGGCTAACGCATTCATCCTGACTTCGTGAAGGTTGGGAATGCCACAGGGAGATACTAAGCTCCATTTCTGAGCTTCACCCACCTCTGTTCCAGACTCCCTGGCAGATGTTCTCCTGGCCCCCAACCCTCTCGAAAGGAGCCAAGAGAGATGAAAGCCAAGGCCTCCTACAAAGGCACATACATGGTCCCCGTGACTGACACTGGCAACGAATGTTCATGAAAACACCGCTCCAAGCCCACAGCAGGCTGCCTCCACCCCAGCCCTCCTGCAAACGCACCATTTGTGGCGCACACAGGAGAATCTTGCTCAGCAGCACTGAGAGTCAAGCCGCAAATAACTGCCTGTCCATATCTCTGTCTTCCTGCATCCCCAGGGCAGGGCTCAGGACTGTCACGTAGTAGGCGCTCTGAAAACAGCCACAGAGTGAATTTTGCAGGAAGGGACGTGGTGACGGTGAAGAGAGCCGTGACCACCGTCCTGGTGCTCTTGTCTGGTTGACCACAGGCTGTCTCTGGGCTTCGGCTTTCTCATCTGTTTGGGGAGATCAGAGTTTGCAACTGCTGACCCAGAGGCTTCATCCAGGTTGTAGATATGTTTTTGATGACTCGTTCATTGTTTACATTTATTTTAAAATGGATTATCAACATTTAAAAATTGGGGGATTTTCAGAAAACCAAAAGCTTTCAGCTTTTGTTGAAAATGAGAAGAAAAGCTGGCCACACTGAGCTCACAGGCCGGAGCTGCCCCTTAGCTGGGCAATCTGGAGGCAGAGCTGCCTCTCTCACTCCCTACAGCCCTGCCCACTCCATGTGTCCCCTGCCCGTGCCCACAGACATGAGTTTTGTCCCGGAGTGTCATCCCTGAGTCCAGCGTGACCTGACTGTTTACTGGCTCTGAGGCCTAAACATGGTGTTACAGGGTTCCCAGGTGACACACCCATTAGCACCTGGTTAAGGAGCCTCTAGGTCTGAGCGGAGAGAAAATTGTTCTTCTGAGGGTGACACAGAGTCCATAAATAGCCTGAATGATGACACCTGTCCAATCTCACCTGGGCCAGGAGGGCGGGGCACGTTTAGTTCATGGCTCAGACCAGGGACTGTCCCTCTTCCTGATGCCACTGAGGACAGAACAGGTAGGGATGATGTCACAGCTGAGACTGTGGGAAGGTGAAATCTTTCTTTGATTAAGGAAGGATGTAGTGATGACATCTGATTTCCCAGTGAGGTGGGGGAAGGAAGCTGGTTCCTAGTCTGGGATCCTGGTTGGGGGTTCCCCAGGGCTAGCCACCACTGCTAGCACCCAGCCTGTGCCCAGGGGGCTGGGCTTGGGACTGGCACACACACTCGCAGGTTTTCAGCTCACAACCTGAGGTGCTTTCAAGTCTCCCAACTCTGGGTTCACTTTGGCTAATGCCCCATTGAAATCTCCTCATGTTTTTGTGTCTCTGTCCCTCAAAGGCGGTTGTCTTCAAGCTGATCTTCCAGGCAGACCTGCCCCCGAGTTTCACAGCCCCCATGGAACACCTCTGTCCCCATCTCACAGTGTCGTCTGTCCAGGGCTTCTCTCTTCTCCCCTCGCCACCCTGTCCCAATCTTCAGGTCTTGATAACAGTGAGAAGGGTTTGACTTATGCAATAAACCCTCATCCTGGACTCAGATTCCTTTCAGCCCTTTGACAATTCACTCCCTCAACTTTTGGGGTTTCTTCCCTACTTATAAAAGGAAACTGCCCCTCAGTGGAGCATAGACAAGCTAAGAGCTTTGAGAACTAAAGTGGTTAAGTAAAGTAAACGAAAGCTGCTCTTCCCTAGGATAGGGGTGTTCTCCTTCATGGCATGGCTGTGAGCTGTGAGCAGAGGGCCTGGACCTGACGTGGAGTGAGTCTTCTCTTCCTCTTTCAAATATACAGCAAGTCATATGGGAGTGGAGGGGGAGCCTGGGAGATGTGCTGAGGGCCCAGATGGGGCAGAGACAAACAGGCCCCCCGCTGTTCTTTAGGGCACAATCATGAGAAAGAAGGAAATATTCCCTGGAACAGAGTAAGACCCCAGGTTGCAACCTAGGGTCCACTAGGTGGTTGGGCTGGAATGTCCTTAAATGGTCAAGGCCCTCCTGAGTCAGGAATTGAGGACTCTAAACTTCCAGAACAAAAGAGCCAAAGCCAGCATTTTCATGAGCCTGGACGCTCTGTCTGACCTTGTGGATTTGCACGGGTAGTGAATGCCTGGCTCCCCCACTCACCCTGAAACAGATATCCACTGAGGAAAAATGACAAAGCAAGACCTGACCCCTTCCCTCAAGCTGATTCAGAGTCAGGGGCTGGTGAGTCCAGAGCTGGCCCCAGTTCACACCCATCTGACCCCAAGGCCAGCCCCCCCTCTTCTCTGGCCCCTCAGACTTCTGAACCCCAACAGCTGAGACCCACCACTATCTGAGACTCCAGCCCTGAGTACAAAGAATCTCTCCATAACTGACACTCATGGGCACAGTACTTAACAGTTGGCAAATCCCTCTCTCTCTCCTGTTCATTTTCTCCTTAGACCTTGTAGTGTAAGGATTATCTTTACACCCTATTCTTCAGTGGAACCCTGGAGACAATGTGGGCCCCTCTGAGGCCCAAAGAGGTCTGGCACAGACTGCAGCAGGGCACCGGGGTTCCCCCAGCCTTAGGTTGTGGCTTCCTCTTTCTGGGCCTCAGTTTCCCATCTGGAGAGTGTGGGTGTTAGCCCAGATGCTCTATTAGGGACCCAAACTGTTATTCTTTTACCTGGGGCCTTCTACCCACCCCACCCCACACCTCCTCCAGGCTTTTGTGAGCATGTAATTTCTCCTCTGGATGTTTCCCCTTATTGAGTTCCCCTTTTCTCTTCCTGTCTTGCTTTGTCATTTTTCCTTACTGGATGTCTGTTTCAGGGTGAGTGGAGCCAGGCATTCACTACCCTGGTTCCCGGGAACCAGGACTATCAGTCTGTGGGGTTGGGAGGGGAGGTCCTAGTCCTGATGGAGGACTGGGGGCCTGGCAGTGCATGGCAGGCCAGGCTGAGTCTCCAATTTTAGGGGGAAGGGCCTGGTGTCTAAAAGTATCTGGACAGACAGAACCAGGCAAGGATCAGGAGGGCCACGAGGAGGCCTCTCTTCCTGCTAATGCCACCCCTTTCACCCCTCCATCTTTCTCTAACTGACTCTCAGTGCCCCCTTTTATCTTACTGTCTTCCGGGCCTGTGGCAGGAGGGGAGACTTACAGAAAGGGCTTAAATATACTTTTGCTAATTAAAGTGAAAGCATGTGGATGTTCCTATTTTGGCGTTAACTACAACTTAACACTTCCCCAATTTTTCCATCTATTGAGACGTCACAGAGTGGAGGAGCCTCCTCCTTTTGCGAGGTCGCTAGGGGCCCTCAGTTCTCTAGCCCTGGCAGGGGTTTCTTAAGAGGACTTCACTCGCCACAGCCCCACGCTTCTGGCTGCGCTACCCGCTGCAGCCGGCAGGGAGCGCCCACGGGACCGGACCTGGGGGCGGAGCGGGCGCGGGAAAGGGGCGGGGCCCCGAGGCCCGCAGGGCCAATAAAGGCGTCCGCGCGCCGCGCCAGCTGACTCGGCCCCTGGGCGCGCGTGACCTTCGGTGCTGCCGCGTTGGCTCGCACCGCCGCTCCACTGTCCCGACCCGCACTCGCGATGCTGGCGCTGCGCAGCGGCTCCCGCCTGCTGGGCCTGCTTCCCTGCCCGCGCTCCGCGCCGCTGCGGTTCCCGGCGACCCGAGCTTGCAGCAGCAGCAGCAGCGGCGGCGGCACCCGCAGTTCCTCCTCTTCCCCTGGAAACCCGCTTGTGTACCTGGACGTGGGTGCCGACGGGCAGCCCCTCGGCCGCGTGGTGCTGGAGGTGAGCCCACTAGACCCGGCCTCGCTGAACTGCGTGTGGGGGACGGTTCCGGGTGGGCCCTAGTCCCCGGCCTGGCGCTGTGCCTGCTTTGCGGGGAGGCATTGCGCCTCCCATCCCAGACCCCGGACCTCAGTTTCCCCATCGCAAAGAATGGGCATCAGCTTGGTCTCACGGTCACCCTTCGGAACTTTTTGGAGTGGTGGCGGGAGAGAGGTCGCATGTAAAGGAGAAAGCTCAAGGTCAGAGAGCAGGCTGTGAGGCCCGGGCCCTGCTGGCAAGCCCCGCAGTTGGGGCGGGTGTCTGAGACCCGCGGGGTCGCAACCTACACCCGCAACCTACACCCGGATGTTGGAGGGGGCCGTTGGGGGCTCCGCAGTGCGCGGGCTCGGTGGGCCAGGCCGGCGCCCACGTGGTGACCCTTGCATAACGTGCATCTGGCCCCGGACCCCGCCCCCGCCGGGGACTGATCAAAGGTGATTTGATTTCAATGGCCATGTGCACTGGGCCGGTTGCTGGCTCCAGCCGCCATGTGGACCCCAGAATGGCCTTCCTGCTATCTGGGGAAGTGTGCCAGGCCCCAGCCATCCTCCAGGCGGGACACTCACAGCCCGCCCTGGCCCTTTGTGCCTGTAAGCCGGAAGTAAGTAGTCTCAAAGGTAACAGCGGAGCTTATGCTGTCCTAAAAAGCATGGTCCCCTTTTGAACAAAGGAACCTCGGTTTTCCCATCCCTAAAGAGGGGGGATGCCCTCCGTGGTCCCATTTATTTAGAGTGTGGGGCATGTGACTTGAAGGTGGGAGGCCTGTTTGCCATCTGTGTATTGAGGAACTTGGACTGGCCCTTTCCAGATCCAAGTCTCTCTGGTGCTTGGGTCCAGCTGCTGTGTGCTGCCAGCTCTGCCCTCAGAAGTAGGCGGGGTGGCATTGTCATCTCTTCTGACACATCAGGAAACCGAGGCTGCCTCCTGGCTCCGGGTTCAGGAGGCGATTGGTAGAAATGGTAGCTGCCTAGCTGCTGAGGCGGCCTCCTACCCAGGAGCAACAGGAATGGAATGGCCACCGCGCCTCTGCCTTCTTGCCTCCCTGGGGCCTGGGTGGCTCTGAGTTCTGTTCTTTCACCTGCCTGGAGGCTGACCTCTCTCCCCTATTCTTTCCTCACAGCTGAAGGCAGATGTTGTCCCAAAGACAGCAGGTAAGACAGTACCTCGGGCCTCCTGAGTTTGTCTAGACGGAAGAGAGACAGGAAAGGGCAGGTGGGCAGGTGGTCTGGGTAGGGTGCTTGGGGCTTAGAGACTCCCACCAAATGGGGGACACATACAAGGCTTAGCTGCTGGGTGCCCTGAGCAGCCTCCTGTCCATCCCTGGGTCCATTAGGAGTAGCGGGCGCCTCAGATTGAGCAGAGGGCACTTACCACTTCCCCGGGATGCTTGCTCCCTCCTGGTCCTGGAAGGGGAGGGAGATGGGTACATGGCCTCTGGGCTCCCTCCCTGCCGGCTGGTGCTGGAGTAGCCAGGACTTGTGCCCTTCCGCAGCTTAGACCTGAGGTCAGAAAAGGAGATGACTTATCCCAGGTCACACAGTCTGGGCAGAGCCTGTGCAAGACCTAGGGTCTTTGCATACCCTGCTCACCTAGTGGAGGCTTCCGGGGGAGGCTGGCTGGAGTGAGATGTGACTGGAGTCGAGGCCTGGTCCAGGTGACCTTTCTTTCAATCCTCAGAGAACTTCAGAGCCCTGTGTACCGGGGAGAAGGGCTTTGGCTACAAAGGTTCCACCTTTCACCGAGTGATTCCATCCTTCATGTGCCAGGTAACTCTCCTGCACAGGCTGCTCTGTGCCTTGGTTTCGTCGTGTGTGTGGGGGGACAGCGGAGGCTACCTCGTGGGGTCATTATGAGGATTAATGAGAGAGCCCTGGTGCTTCGAAGTACTGAGCGGAGAGAGACTGTAATTGCTCCATCCGCCTCTCCTCTCACCCTGAAGGCTGGAGCTGGTCTCGGTGCCATGGCCCACCCCTTCCTCAGGAAGTGGGCACAGGGCAGGTGGCCGGATGTCCCTTCCAGCCGTGTGGGGAAAGTCGCAGTTGGAGAGAGAACTGGCGCTGGGTGTGAATGTTCTCGGGGTAGAGTGTGAGGTTTTGGAGGGCCAGTGTACAGAGGCCATGCCCCGCTGGGCGCTGGGCAGAGAAGATAGAGAGTAAAGGAGGAGTGGAGAGCTGGGGGAGGCACAGCCCAGGCCACACATGCCTGGACTTGGCATTTTTCTTTCAGAGAAGGGCCACCTTCTCGGTTAAATGACTGTGTTCTGTAGTATTGCTGCATCAGGCGTTGGGGTAGGTGTGCTGTGAGTTATCCTCTCGTTGCTTATCCCCTACTGGGTCAGGGATTAGTATCCTACGGTCAGCAGCCCTAGATGCAGGAGCATGTGTGTCATGACCTCTCTGAAGCCCTTTCAGCCCAGGATTTTCTTCTAGCCGGCCCAGTGGCTGTCATCACGGTGAGTGGCAGCAGCTTGGGCTGGGCCTGCTGACATGGTGAGTGCAGGGACAGGGAGGGAGACTGCGGCGGCGGGAGAGGCCTGGCCAAGCCCTGTAGATTATTTTGCTGCAGAGGCGCCCACCTCCAGCCTAGGCAGATGAAACAGGAACAGAGGTGGATGCCCTGAGCTGGGTCAGGGTTCACCGAACAGCAGTGGGCAGAGCAGGTGCTTCTAAAGCTGGAGAGTGCTCTGAGGCTTGAGGTGGTGGCACCAGAGGTGCAGGCCATTTCTTGAATCAGTCCTCTCCTGGGCACCATACTGGCATTTGTGGATGCTTCATCTGGCTACTCACACCTCTCACCCTAGGACCCCACCTCGGCAAATGCCATGACCCTGGCCCAGAGCAGGGATAGAGCTGGGCAGTACTGGGTGTAGGGGCTGGCCCCGGCCTCTGTTGACCATGCATGGCTCCCTACAGAAGCCCTAGGCAAGCAGTGAGGAAGGATGTTCCCCCCCGGGTGCATCTGTCCTGAGTCTGCAAGGTCTGGGGGTGATACAGGGACATAGAGGGGACTCGGCATATGGAACCCGCTCTGAGCCAGCTGCCACTGCTTCCCACAGACCACACTGGAGTGGGGATCCCTGTGACCCTCTAAAAATTGTGAGCTGCAAAGTCTGGAGTACTCAGCATCATCTTAGAATGATTAGCTCCTTGGAGGATTGTTTGAAAACTTGCTCAGACCCAAACGTGAATCATTTGGTAACTAGGATAGTTACTGTGGCAGGAAAATATTTAAGCTTTGTTTTAGCTTATGTTCCTTATTTTTTTAGTCCTTATATCAGGGCTGTTTTGACCCCCACCACCCCAGTGTCTGAGATGGGGGTGGAGGGGAGTCTGGCTGGGTTGGGGGTGCCTCCCAGCACTGCAGCATCTGGTGACTTAGAAAGTGCTCTGTGCTCACAGGCGGGTGACTTCACCAACCACAATGGCACAGGGGGCAAATCCATCTATGGCAGCCGCTTTCCAGATGAAAACTTCACGCTGAAGCACGTGGGACCAGGTGCGTAGGCCCCATCCCCTGGTCTGAGTGTCCGGGAGCTTGGCCCAGCCTCTGCCCCCTTGCAGGCCTGGGCGGCTGCAGTCCGTCTCCGATTGCTCAATATCCAGAGGCATGTGTCCTTCCGGCACTCCCTGTTGGCCTGTTGGCTTTCTAAGAGCTTTTTCATCCTGAGTGCTCAGTTTAAAAAACAAATGTTCCTTGGGGAGCCTGGGCGAGAGAACCTATAATCAAAGCTCCAGTGTTGTAGCGAAGATCCAAGATGGAGTGTGGAAAAGTCTAGAGTCAGGCTGGGAGTCCTGCTTTGGCTCAGCCACTGAGAGCACCCTCGAGGCCCTTTCTCCCTGTGACTTCCAAGGTAAGGTGCCTCGTGGGGCAACATGACTCACCCTTGCCCGGTTGCAGGTGTGCTGTCCATGGCAAATGCAGGCCCCAACACCAATGGCTCCCAGTTCTTCATCTGCACCATAAAGACGGACTGGTAAGTCCCTGCTCCTGACTCCGGGCCTCTGGGAAGTGGGGTGGCCTTGCAGTGGGAAGAGGAGGGTACCTGTGCTTCAGGGGACGGTGGAGGCTGAACTCTGCTGTCCCTGGGGCTGTGTATGAGAGGACACAAGCTAGCAAAAGGGTTGAGGGAGTCTTGGAGCTCTCTCAACTAGGTGTGCACCTTGGAGAAAATACATTTGGGAAATGCTGCCAAATATTAGTCCTCAGGATGGTTTAACGCATTGTTCCCTGGACTGACTTTGACCTTGAAATGCACCATAGAAATGGCAGTGCTGGGCAATGGAATATCACCAGATCTCTCACCAGGCATTAGCATAGGCTGGCAGGGAGCCCGTAGAGCTCTCTTTCCCTTGTGCCCTGGTTTTTAGGGTTGACTTCTTGGTAAAGTTCTGCTGTGTCTTAGTCCTGGGTTCCCTGGGATTGAGGAGTCAACAGCTCACTAGGGAGTAAGACTTAATGAAGCACATGTCTGAGACCTTTTAGCCAGGCCTGGGTGGTATGGTGGGTACAGGGCCTCTAGACCCTAGGCCAGAAGGGACCGGATGGCTGGGACGGGGCACAGTGTGAGTGGCGCTTCCCACTCTGCTCCTCAGCAATTCTGCAGTTTACCCTTGGCGGTAACCAGGCTGGGCTTTGCTGGCACTGGACTAAGTTACTTTTAGATTCTTGGCACTCTCTATGGTTGAAAGTGCTGAGGAGTTACATAACTGTGCCACACAAACTCTCTTGGCTCTCATCTCTCACTTCATGACTGCTAAGATAGTTCTATTTGCATAGACGTCTTATTTCTTCAGGGTGATTCAATATCTGTGTTACCTCCCTGTGCAGAGTAAGGTTCACTCTTCATAGGTGAGGTTACCAGAATTCCACTGAACGGGCCTCAGCAAGGTCATACCATGTGTGTGGTGAACTTGCCTGGAAGGCAGGCTTCTTCTGGGGCGCCAGGGGGAGTCAGCAGGGCTTAAAACTGGGAGCTTTGAGGGGTGAAGCCAGCTTTTCAGTGTGTGTTCCTTTTAGAATTGCTATTCCTGGTAAGTTGGCCATGATGTAGGGTGACTTCGCTCTGTACCTGTTTTCTGCTCACCTGGTTCACCTCTCCCCACAGGCTGGATGGCAAACATGTCGTGTTTGGCCATGTCAAAGAGGGCATGGATGTCGTGAAGAAAATAGAGTCTCTTGGCTCCAAGAGTGGGAAACCATCCAAGAAGATTGTCATCACAGACTGTGGCCAGTTGAGCTAACCCACCGGGGCTCCAGGCCAGCAGCAGCGCGCGTGTGTGACTCACCCAGGTAGCTGCCATGGGCTCCTGGTGAAGGTGCCCTAGGTGGCCTGTGCTCGCTCCACCATCACTGCACTCGAGGAATACCTCTCAGGAATCTGGGGCCCCGGGGCCACCAGACTGCTTCCCATGTCCGCTCTTCCCCACTACTCTGTTTCTGGACGCCGCGCATCACGGCTAAGTGTCGCCTGCTCCTCAAGCCTCCCTGTGGGGGCCCAGCCCGAGTTCACCTGTGCCTTGGACGCCAGGGTGGTGAAGACTGTCTTCCAGGGAAGATCTCTGCCTTTTGCTCGGCCACAGGACAAAACCTGTTGCTGCAAAAGGACTGTTGTATCCATCTACTTCCGTCTTCCTAGTTGTAATAATCTGATGAGCAAGGTTGCCTGGAGGTGAGGCTGTTGCACTGCACAGTGCTGTGGTGTGACCTGGCTGGTGACCCAGGCCCGGGGCTCGGCCTTTGAGGGCTTCTGTGAAAGGTCCTCGGCCAAGGCTCTCAGCCTAGCTACTGTGAATCCTGCTGGCTTGCTGCTGTTGATTCTGTGGAGACCTGGAGGGGTGAACCAGGGAACAACAGCCGTGTGAGCTGTGCCTATCAATGTGAATTGCTGTGTCAGCCTGGAAATGGCTCCTAAAAACTGTATTCCCTGAAGGTCAGTGCGTGCTGCCTGGCAGGCTTTGATTTTTTTTTCTGTTTAGTAAATCAAATCTAATTCTAGATCTAATATACTTCTGGAACATTTATTTATGTTCACCTTAAATGTGACAATAAATCCTATTTTCTATAAAACACTGTCTGTTGTCAGTGGTTTTAGGAAGCATTGTCTGTGACGCAAGCATTTTGGCGCCAACCTTCCTTGAGCCATGTGGGTCAGCTCCTGGGCCGGGGATGGAACCCAGGCTGCAATGGCTGTGAATCACTTCTTAGTGCTGTGCTTTAATCCGTTGTACCACCAGGGAGGGCCCTAAATCCCCTTTTCAATCATAAAAATCCTTCATTTTTCTTACTGAGCCTCTGCAAGGGATTTCATCATGAAGAACTGGATCTGGAATCAAATCATAAGCATTGGTAACTGCTCAATCAGTCTAACATGTTATAGATAAATAAACTAGGGCCCCAAGCAGAGTCATGCCCACAGTGACCCCGTGAGTCAGTTGGCAGAGCAGGGGCTTGAATCCAAGCCCTGGCCAGTCGGAAGGGTTCTGCAGGAGGTCATTCAGAAAGCAAGGCCCCTCTGGGTTGTTGGGTCCCACATGATTCAGAGTTTTTCTGATTTCTGAGATCAAAACCATAACTGCAGTTCCTCTAGAGTTTTTTTTTTTTGGCCTCTGGAGACTAGGAAGCAGGGATACTGTGAACGAGTAGCTCCTTGAGTGATCCCCTGGATTTCTAGGGTGTCTCAGGGTCTCTCTCTGATCAGAGGGTCTTTGGGGCCTGTTTGATTCATAGAATTTCCTTTCTGATGAGGAAACGGGGTGTGTGTGTGTGTGTGTGTGTGTGTGTGTGCACCGCGTGCATGTGTGCCTCCCAGGAAGCCAGGACACAGGAACTCCCTAAAAACTGTCTTCTGCAGGTGGGGCCTGCCACTCTCTTCCCTACACAGCACCTGGGAGCCTCGTGGTGTTTCTACATCACAGCAGCCCAACATGCAAATGAAGCAGTGACTTGTTGCAGTCACAGTGCCTCATGTCTGAATGAGGCGGTGACTCACACCCCTGCCTGCATAGACATAATCATGTGTTTCACCATGTAAACATGTTTTTAATATCTGAAATATTAGTTTTGTGAGACATGTGATAGCTTTCCAAAGTGACTTCACTGAGGGACAGCATACATACAATAAAATGTACACGTTAAGGATACAGGTTGGTGACTTGACAGATGCCTCCATTCAATAACCACCGCCAAATTAAGACACATTTCCAGCTCTTCAGAAACAGCTCCTTGCTCCAACACTGAATTCTATTTCTCTCTCTCTTTTTTTTAATTTTATCTTGTGCCATGAAAAAAAAAAATGTATGTAAATGTTTCCAGGCCCAGAAGGCCTAAAGCAAGGCCTCTCCTGGGAATCCTGAGGGGTTGGGAAAACACACAGACTCCTGGGCCAACCTGGTACCTGTACAAGTCCAGCGGGACTCTGAATTTAAAATCATTGGTGTAGGCCAGAGTGGGCAAGATTGGAAAAGGGTACGCAATGCCCATCACTAATCGCTGTTTACTTCTGGGAACTTCTGTTGCCTGACATTCGGGGTATCTAGAGTGAGACCCCCCCACTGATGATGACAGGCGGAGGCCAGCCTGTTAGCTGAGCCCTGTGGGGGCTGCCGGGCACCTACTTGTCCACGGCGCTGGTTAACACAGCTGCCCACAGCCTCAGCTTACGGGAGTGCTTCAGAGGGGACCACTCTGCCCGGGGGCCACTGCTCTTCCTTGTCGTCCAGGGGAAGGTCAGGCTGGTATGGGCCCAGGTGGGAGAGCACCTCTTCTGGGGCCAGAGGTCAGACCTCCATAAATGCCTACCAGCACAGTGTGGGTCGAGAAAGCCCTGGGTCCACCCCGCTCCTCCTACCCCATCAGCCGCAGCCTTGTGAGACTGTTTAGAATAATGGTAGGGTTATTGTATTATACTGTGATGGTTAATTTTTTTTATTACAAAAGTTTATTTTTACATCATTTTGTACATTTTTTTTCCATCTCAATTGTAATCCCCGCGGGTTTCCCATCATCAAGTCACCTGTGTGCCACCACCATAGTCCCGTGCATTTATACCTCCCCCCCCCCCCGTTTTTGATCCCATTCCCCACTCCTCCCCCACAAAATGTCTCTGGTATATGGTTGTTCATTATTTTTGTTATTTTCTCGCCTGGTCCATTATACTCCTGCTATGAGTGAAACCATCCGGTATTTTTCTTTCTCTTTCTGGCTTTTGTGATGGTTAATTTTATGAGACAGCTTGATAGGGCCATGGGGTGCCCAGACATTCAGTCAAGCAGTGTTTCTGGTGTGTCCATATTTGTGAAGGATGCGTGGATGATACGGACATTTGAATGGGTAGGTGGACTAAAGCACAGAGCCCTCTCTGACACAGGTAGTCTTCATGCAGTCAGCGAAAAAGCTGAATAGAACCCGAAGGCTGAGTTCAAGGGACTCCTGTTTGTCTGAGCCTTATACTGTATTATGACTCAAACTAACACATCCTCTCTCCTCAGCTACCAACCCTGCTGGCTTTTGGATCGGAACCAACACCCCTGGCTCTTCCTATCCCGGGTCTTTGGAAGCAGTGTGCAGTTCCATCACCAGCTCTCCTCAGTCTCCAGCTTGCAGACTGCAGATCTTGGAAACTGTCAGCCTTCTTTATATACATACACATGTCTCTCAACATATGATAGGGGTGTAGAGCAGTAAACACATCATAAACTGCAAATATCCTAAGTCAAAAGTACTGTCTGGGAGCTGAGGCCCAGCATCACAAGACAATATTGTGTTGTGGTATCTAAATGCCTGTCACTTTTATTTTTCTCTTGACATTTATTGATTTGTCAATTATCTACATAACTGTAATTTGGGGGCTATCACTTCACCCCTTCACAGTACACATGCTTCACTCTCCCTCTACCAAAACGGCAGGGCCAATCTCCTCCCCCTTCACTCTCCAGCCTCTCCCTCCACCTCCTCCCCTCTGGTACTGCTCCATTTTTCACAGAATAAGGATTATTTTTTGTTGTGCTTTGCCAGTTTGTTTTCTTTGGTTATTGATATTTCACAAATGAGTTCAACCATTTCTCTTAGTATAATCACCTCCATATCCAGCCATGTCCCAAAGGAAATGATTTCACCTTTTTTGTTAACTGAGGGGTATTGCTTTGTGCACACAGTCTTCAGTTTTTTATGAGCATACATGTGCCCAGGTCTTTTTGTCTTACTGATTTCTTTTTTTAAGATTTTATTTATTATGCATACTGGGGTACAGGCCAGAAGTGCAGGGGCAGTGAGAGGCTTCACCAGAGACAGAGTCGGGAGCAGAACAGGCAGATTGAGGAAGTACACTGCTGAGGGGAGCAGCAGGGGGGTCAGGAGGGGTCTGCTGCGCCATGTGGGTCACCTCCAGGGCCGGGGTTCAAACTCACACTAAAGTGGCTGCAGCGGGCTTACAGTGCTGCATCCTAACCCATTTCGCCACCCGGGAGGCCCTGTCTTACTGTTTTCAAATTCTTTGGGTAAATACCTACCTCTGCTGCAACACTACTCAGCTATTAAAAGAAATAAAAATCATTCCCTTTGGGATAAAGTGGATGGAACTTGAAGTGACTATATTAAGTGAAATAAGCCAGAAACTGAAGGACAGTTATGGAATGGTATAACTAACTTATTTAAGGCATATAAATCTTCAAAAGAAGTGGTACTGTTGGATCATATGGTATTTCCATTTTTGGAGAAATCTCTGTACCATTTTCCATAGAAACAGCACTAATTTACATCCCCACTAACAATGAGGAAGAGTTCATTTTTCTCCACATGCTTGCCCAAATCTGTTGTTTCTTACCTTTTTGATATTGACATCCTCTCAGGGATGAGGTGGTAACTACTGTGGCCTTGATTTTCTTTTCCCGGGTAATAAGTGATATTGACCATTTTTTGTGTGTTCCTGTAGGCCTTCTGTGAAGGTTCTTCGAAGTGCTGACTATGTCTTTTGCTTATGATTTTTTGTTTGTTTTAATGAGTTGTTTTTGTTGCTGAGCTGTATGGGTTCTTTGTATATTTTGAAAATGCATGAAGGCCTTGTCAGATGTGTGCAATTATCTTCTAATCTGTAGGTTGCATTTTTGTTTTGTGGTAGTTTCTTCCCTAGCACAAATGCTTTGTAGTTTGATGTAGTCCCACTTGCTTATCGTTACTTTAGTTTTCCTTCTGTTGGAGTTGGGTTCCCAAATGCTTCATGACAGCTTTTGTCCCGGTCTGTATGTTTTCTCCTAAGTATTTTATGATTTCAGGTCTTACATTCAAGTCTTTAGTGCATTTTGAATTTTTTTGGTGTGTGTGAGTTAATATGGAGTTAGTAGTGATCTCCTTTTTTTTTTTTTTTTGCATGTGACTGTCCAAATTTCCCAGTACCACTTGTTAAAGTGGCTTTCCTTTCTGCATTGTATGGTCATTGCTCCTTATTTGAAAATTAACTTTAACAAATATTGAAAAGTTTTCATATTTGTGTGGGTTGTTATTCAAACATGATGGGAAAATAAAGGCTTTCTCAAACAAACAAAAGCTAGTGGAATTTAATGCTATCAGACCCACCCTACAAAATTTATTCTATTTGAAAAGAAAAGATAGCGTTTGGGCACAAGGGATTTGGTGGGAGTAAAAATATACTACTACTACTACTAATAAATTGTACTTAAAGCCAAAAATAAATAAGTAAGCAGCCTGAGACATCATAGTGGATGCTTCTACTTCATGACTACCCCTGAGAAACTTTGGGAAAGGCTGGGCAGGCTATTTTGTGTTTTTCTAGTACAGCACTGATAATTTCAATAAGAGTATTTTGTACAACCAATGACTTCATGGGAAAATCCAAGGATGCTTGGAAACACACACATACATATTCTTGAACAACTGAATTTTATTTTGGAATGAAATTTTCGTGAAAATCTATGACAAGAAAAGTCTCAATGGATTAGCAGGGAAGACTAATGGAACGGATGAGCGGGGTATTTAGGAAGCGGTGAGTGGAGTAGGTAGCAGTCATTATCCAATAATCCCCCCCATATTCCCTATATGTCTCCTTAACAGATGGG